CATCTTCATGACATTCACATATACAAACTGTGGGTTGGGGGGCCACTCTCTGACCACCGATATCTGTGCCCTCCCCCAATAGCTTCACGTAGACACTTAGGAGTTGGGGTGGAGTTAGGGTGGGTGGGAAACTGGCTTCCCGCCAGCCTCTGCCCCTTCTTCCCTCTCCTTTTAACTACATTATAGAAAAACACGCATCAATAGCACATTTGAAGGTGGGGGTGTGTGTGTGTCAGGGTCTTCTTTTATTTATTTATTTATTTCTCACTCCCCCATTTCCCGACAGACATCTGGGGGTGGGGCCCTGGTGGGGGCATGCTGCCGGGTGGGGGCCTGGACTGATGGTGGCCTGGGAGCTTGGGTGGGCGCGAGGTGTTGGGCTTGCACTCTGGCTTCTCTGGAGCTGCGTGGACTCTGGGGATGTGGCTCCTAGTTGGTGTGGTCGGCCTGCTGGCCGGGGTGGTCGCCGAGTTCAGGCAGGTGTCGGGTGATGGTGTACCCCTGGCCGTTGGTGGTGGTTGGGGGATAGTCAGAGCATGGCCTTGTTGGGGCAGGGGTGGCCGGTTGGGTCGGCGCGGTCCAGGCCGGGGCTTGGCCGTCTGCTCCTCTCCACCCCAGGACAAATGGGTTTACCTCCTGGGTTCTGGTGTGGGCCACCCTCTGTGGGGGGCAGGGGCATGCCCTGGACCTGGGGGGTATAGAGTGTGTATTGGGAGTGTGAATGGAGTGTGGTGTCTATATTGAATGTCTTTGAATGAGTGGTTGCGAGGATGAGGGTGGGATTGTATGATTGTGTTTGTGTATGCATGGGTATCTGTCAGGCTGGGACATGGACTTCCCCTTCCCCTGGTTCATTTGTCTCCCCCATCCCATACCGCCCTCTGGTGGGGGTGCATTGCCCACCGGCGCGCAGATGGCTCTTGGGGTCTGGGGCTGGGTGCTCGGGTGTGCATTGGCTCGGCCTGGTGGCTGTCTGTCAGGGCTTGGGTCCTCTGGCCCTGTCGGCTCTCGACTTGGGGGGGTGCCCTGGGGGCCGTGCCCTCTGTGCCTATGCCCGTGCTTGCCCTAGCGCAGCGGGTGCCAGCGAGTGCTGGCGGGCTCCTGCGTGTTCGTCGCTGCGGGCCGCTGTGGGGCTGCTGCGTGTGGTCGCTGGTGGGGTTCTCCTGGGTCTCCCCTATAGTTTGACCTGGGGGTGGGTGTGCCGCTCTCCTTGCGTAGTTGTACCTGGAGGCCCGGTGCTTGGGGTTCCTCCTGGGGTCGTCGGCTCTGGCCTCCCCTTCTGTCTGCCTCTTGCCTTGGGGGTCGGCTCTGAGACTCCCCCACAGTCACTATTATACATTCCTTTGGAGAAATCCTGTAAATTTATGCTTGCTCACAATCGCATGCAGACAGGTGTTCAGATCCGAGGGATTCTGAATGATCACCAGGTATATATAGGTGGGTGTTTGTTTGTCTGAATGTGCAGCGGGTAAAATAAGGATTGAACACGTCAACATTTTTCTCAGTAAATATATTACTAGAGGTGCTAATGACATGAAATTTTCACCAGATGTCGGTAACAACCCAAGTGATCCATACATACAAAGAAATCAAACCATAAATGTCCAGAAATGTATGTAGGTATTTGTATGTAAGTATGTATATGAAAG